TACGTAACGCTATTCTTACAGCGTTACGTTTTCGCGAGACCTCGAAGAAACCAGAACGAGAGTATATGGTGGCAGCAGTGGTGTTCGACGAAGACAGCAACATGGGACCTGATTCAAGGCATGTGCAGTCCACAATGAAAGCCAATGTTTTCATGTCAGACAGGGTAAATTCAAGCGGCGCGTTCCGGCATCCTGATGATTCAGAAGAAATTGCCTGGCATCTCACGAAAATCCTCAAGAATCGCCTTCGATAGGATGCGTGCGGGAACGCGTCTTTTTCTGCAAGGCCTCTCTGCGAATGAACCCATAAATAAAACGGCAGCTTCGTACGTACTTTTATTCAAGGCGTCGACATAACACGCCTTGGACGTTGTGCGAACTTTGACTCCTTAAGTGTCCCGCTAGTAATTGCAAGGTCATTAATACCTGTAACGCGACCACTTACTGCAGGGTACGCCAAGTATCACTCACAGCAGCACTGGATAGAACGTTGGGGTTGATCCAGTGTGGCCGTGCCCGATCAGACGCAGCCTCGCCGCGGTGGTCTAGTGGCTAATGTACTCGGCTGCTGACCCGCAGGTCGCGGGTTCGAATCCCGGCTGCGGCGGCTGCATTTCCGATGGAGACGGAAATGTTGTAGGCCCGTGTGCTCAGATTTGGGTGCACGTTAAAGAACCCCAGGTGGTCGAAATTTCCGGAGCCCTCCACTACGGCGTCTCTCATAATCATATGGTGGTTTTGGGACGGTAAACCCCACATATCAATCAATCAATCAATCAATCCGATCAGACGCATTGTTCAGCGGAGTTCAAAACAACATAGCTGAATGTTCACATTTAGTGCACCTTTGGAACGATGCTAAAAATCTACACAGTGAACGCCATGGCCTGACTTGTACGCTTGTGGCCTGGCCATCAAGATGTTTTTCGCGCAGATCACAGAGGTCACGTTATTACAGGAATCCAGCATACTTCTAGCGTGGGAGGCGCTCATGAGCATTCCGAATCCTTGCGCCTCGTATTCGACTTATCTAGTTGAGTGAAACGCGTCGAGGTACGTTGAACTAAAAGTGTCGTTGCACGCTTCACTTGCAGTGTGCGCAACTTACAATTTTCACAGCGTGTACGCATCCTCCTTGTACGCCCGACTATACTACTACTACTGCTACTGCGACTGCTACTGCGACTGCTACTACTACTACTACTACTACTACTGCTACTACTACTACTACTGCTACTACTACTACTACTACTACTACTACTACTACTACTACTACTACTACTACTACTACTACTAAAACAGATGCATGTATGTGTGTGCCGATGGCGATCTATGGCATAACGCTTGGCTCATGCCGAAGAATGTGGCATTGCACTGTTGTTGGGTAGAAGTGTTTCAACAAAGGACTAGTCGTCGCACAATGTGAATAGCGTAACGAGTGGGTCGTCCAATGCTCCAAACCATTACAAAAGCTTGTTTTTGTTCAGCTATAAACTGTGGTGCATACCCACTTCAAGCATAATTCCTCATCGTCATCAGCCACTGCATGAACCATTGGTAAAAAATTCCTTGCAATAGTTTAGCGGATACCACGCTTCTCAGAAGAATGACGGAAAATAGCATAGCGAATGCCGGTTTACTACCCTAAAATTTATATTATTAATGCCGTAGTGGGCATCAAGCAAGTGTGTTTGCAGCAGTCACCCAATGAGTGTTCAGAAAAGGCTCTGAAAGGCCGCTCCCGTAGCGTTCGCTGTGACTGCTGCGCCTTCCGCGCAGGCGTGGCGTTTATTTATTTATTTTTTTTTTGCGTATACAGATATCCAAATAAATCCTTGTTGTTAGTCTTCACGTATACGTCTGTGTGCTCTTGCCCTGTCGCCTAGCGCTTCTCCGTAATAACTATGAATTTGCAAAAGTCATTGTTCGGTTCACTAGTCCATTCGGTTCTTTCAAAATGCCTCGATATGCAATACTAAGCCTCCGCCCTCTCCTCCGTTGCTGAACACACTATGAAGTAGGGCAGGGTTCGGCGGCCCTTTAAGGTGGAGGGCCAAGTTGCATGAAGCTGGTAAAGCGGGGAAGTGGGAGGGGGCTGGGTGAGTGGTGAAGAGTTATGCAGGCAGAGGGGAAAAAATCGGCGTAAAAAACTGGATTTTTTGAAATCACTTTTATTTTTAGCACTCATGTCACAAAGTTGCAATCAAGCATATAGTTAACAAGCTAAAATTCCATTTAAGTCAACACTGCGATGTCGGTTTTCAGACAGAAAGTGAGGTTCAGTGTGCACATCAGCTGGGTTAAAATCAGAAAAGAAAAAAAAAAAGAATAATGCGAAGTAATGAGTGCGTATTCTGAGATTATTAATAGCTGTATTGCCACTGTAACCCGTGCTGAACTCTTATATGGCAGATTTTCCTGGACTGATAATGCTGGACTCAAGCTGGACTCAGGCCAGCTGTTTCAAATTTAAGCGCGCTTTCGCGATGAAACGAAAGCTGGTCGTCGTTTTCAGAAGGCATATATTCCAACTTATACTTTGACTCATGACCTACTACACTCCTGACCTGTTCAGATAGCGGGGTTCCTATGGGAGCGCGTGTCCCCGCTCTCGTTCAATCGCTCGCCGTAGGTGGCGCTACCTATAACCTGTTCGTCTGCTACTGTGCGGCCGGCAGGAGGGCGACGGACTGATACCATGCGTCTGCTTCTGTGACAAACTGCCTATACGTGTGATTGTTTTTTGCTGAAAAGGCTAACGTGTGCTATGTGTTACATTTTAGTAGTTAGGCTATACTGGTTGATTGACTTCTAAAGCTGTATATTTGCGTAGAAATGTCTTGCTGCATGGTTGTTTTTGCCATTCCAGCCTAAAAAAACTTCAATTTAGTATTCATAAAGCTTTTGACTAATAATGTACTCATTGGTAATAGAATATCAAACTGATTTTAGGTTGTTTAGGACGCGTCAGGTGAAACGCAGTGCCCCTGTTGAGCACTTACCTTGGACACTCGCCCTGGACAGGTGTTACACTTGTAGTCAATTGATAGAAGAGAATAATGCACATACGCCCACGGACGCATATCAAGGAGAGACACAGGAATTGAAGCTTTAACTCTTACTGTGACCTACACAACAAAAATTGTGCGTCAAATTTCGCTACGGGAGTTTGTCTGCTGGAACGGGGAGCGCTGGCCGATGCGCGTTTCTATGATTTTATATGTCCGTGCGATGAGACGATATGGTAAAGGCAGTGATGTGCCTATCGAGGGCAACACATTGCGACCCCAATAAAGTTTTTATCGTCATCATTATCATCATCTTGTCGAGCATAGTTAATAATAATAATAATAATAATATAATAATAATAATAATAATAATAATAATAATAATAATAATAATAATAATAATAATAATAATAATGTTTTATTTTTCATCAATAGTTTGATGAAGGACAGCGGCAGGTAAAAGCTGCTCTTCGAAAGAGGCAGCTTGACATAGGCCCACAGACGCCTTTAGCACGACAGCACTGGCAAACAGTTAGCAATGTTATCTAAGCAACAATTACAAAATATCAAGTTCAAATTCTAAAAATAAAAATAGCAACCATGATAACAATGTAGCAACTGCAAAGAAATCTTGAAAACTATACATGTGTATATCGTGCAATTGAGTTCGGGTACAGAGTAAGAAATCTATGCCAGCTTTCACATATTTATCAATTAACGTAGAAACTGTGTAGAACAACCTATCTGTGGAGTAGTTTGTTCTCGAAGTTTTTATTTTCCATGTTTCTTTATGTCATGTTTCGAACAAATTATTTGGCTGCAGTTTCGAGAGGTCGTACAAATAATGTCGACTTTCTTGAAATTGACGCCTGACCACCAATGCTAACTTAAAATCGTAGAGACGATGTAGGGGTGGTATTCCAGCCTGTTGAAACAATTCACTTCTGCGAGCATCATACGACCAGTAAAAAATTATTCTAATATACGTCTTTTGCATCAGGTACAGTTTTTGTAAGCGCGTGTTAGTCGTAGTCCTTCATACCAAGAAACAATAAGCAAGATGCCAACAGAACAGTCATTTATAAAGTAAGAATTTTACCTTGTATAGTAGAACAGTTTTGCCACTGTACACCGTGCCCTCTACGCGAGATAACTGACCCAGCACACTGTAAATGCGATCGTTTCAAAGCATATTGCTCGAAAATGTAACTCCAAGAATTTTTATACAATTTACTAACTCAATAATAGTATCGCCATACTTGAAATGTATGTTTTCATTAACAGACTTATTTTTAGGGCAATATTTGCAATATGGCACGCAGCAATACACCATACTTACATTTGAGGTGTCAGCTCATCTAAAAAAAAAAAAACTGCACGCGGCCACTATTAGAGCTGACTACTGCAGCTATCTGCCGTCTGCAAGTTTCTGCACACGACCTACTGTGTTTCTGCGTATCTTCTGCAATTTGTGTATGCGTATCGTCTGGAACCATCGTGATTCAGTGTGAACAATGAATGCCTAACAATAGTTTTTTTATCTCGTTGGACTACGTTTTCATTCAAGAAATATTTTCATAATAAATTTTCCTTCATTTGTAGAAAAGTTCCCGTCTGCTTGCCACTGTGACCCTTTGTGTGCTTTTTTTACGGTTCTATTTCTGCTTCAAACGTCCACACGAATGCAGCCAACTCTGACGAGGAATCATATCGCTTTATTTGCCATATTTTACACATTCATACACAATTCATGCACAATAAGAACGATTTGCACTGCCACAGCGATGGCTGAAGCAGACGACAGCGAACAGGTGCTGCCTAGCGCCACGCCGCTCGTAGGTGACGGCCCTAGCGGCAGAAGGTATGAACTAGAACGTGGGCGCTGGAAGAGGTGCTCTCTGGGCAGGTCAGGAGTGTAGTAGGTCATGCTTTGACTAAGCAACATTGTGCCCTGGCTAGAAACAAGCTTGCTTTCGAGCCGATCCAGGCCAAGTCAAGCTCAGTTTGTGTACTGCAAGGATTTGCAAGTGATTGACTTGTTTTATTCGCTGCGAAGTGACTTTTACGCATTTGCGCGTGCAGGGGTCTTGATCGGACTACCGAGTGATCAGATTTTAAATTTGCCTCAATGATGCATAATTTATGATGGTCGGTGTAACGGGAAGCTTGGCGCAATCAGCCGGCACAGCTGCTTCGGAAACCATCTGTGCCGCCGCCGATCATTGACAGCCCGGTTGTACTGCAGGTATTTTCATTCCTTGTGTACGTAATATGTCGTGTCGCTTAGAATCAGCTCTCGCACCCGGCTTCGTTTTTAGTGTTTTGTTTTCATCAAACAGGATCCCTGATCTTTTCAGGCACAGATCATTTAGAGGCTTCGTTTTCGCTTCAGACAACGAAAACTTGGTGGCGCGAAACTGCTGCGCATGATGTTGCCGCGCAAGGTTAATCGTTTTCTCGCGCGACGATATTCGACTCTTTGCGTATTCGCGGATTTTCCTCATTTGTGGACGTACCTGTTTTACGGGGAAAAAACGCTGGAATATGCGTTAGGCGCCAGCACGACGCGCGGCAAGTACTCGTAAGGTAAACTTTTCCGCTGCTCTTGCAGATAACGCGAGATCGCAGAAAGTAGGGCTGTCGGGCGCAATCTTTGGTCGCCGGAAACTGACCCCCGCTATCTAGTACATTGTGTGAGAACGACAGCCTACGATGTCAACCTAAGGTATGCTCATGCGAGCAGTTTCGGTCCGCGCGATCTCGTCTTGACGTGCTTGTAGACGAGGAAAAGTTGTTTCGGTATGATATGTTATGCGTGAGGCTATTTTGTTTCTTTCTCTATTCTTTTCCATCGCAGTTTGGTGCAGCGTTAGAAGTAGTAGTGTATATTCAACTGAACGAGAATTCAGTTCACGCAGCATTCATCAGTGTCGATTCTCTGCACGGCTTAGCTGGCTTCGTTACTACAAACTGTACGGCTGGCACGTCTAGTGTGTTTCCTTGTCGTCTACATGTAAATGAACATAAGCATGTCGGGTGTGGTGTCGGCCATATCTTCAAGTAGAAATTACAAAACCTGCCAGTTGACATTTCGAAAGCTGTTAAAACCTAGAATGATAAGGCCGCACAGCCGCTTAAAAGCCCACGTAATTAAGCTGTGGTGTGCAATCTGTTCAGCATAATAGATTATGCCGATTATATATTCTATGTAAAGTTTAACTGTAACGAATAGTACTTACACAAAAAGACTCTTTTTCCATTCAAGCGGCGGTGGACATACAAAAAATGTTACCAAGTATTTGTTACTGTTAAAATATGCGACCCTGTGTTTTGCAAGATGTTCGACTATTTAAAGCACATATGTTTTCTCTATACCGTCACTAGGAAACATTATTAAACAACTATCAAAGCATGTACCACAAAGCCATGACTTCTTAAAAGTCGCACCTATATTGTACCGTTGGACAAGACGAAATTCTTTTGAATAACATCCTCTAATCACATTTGCAATTCCTGCCAAAACTGCTGAACCTCTCATAGAAGGAACATGTGAACAGAATGAAATGGTATTGTTTGATGATAGTGGGAACTTGTTTATTTCTAGGTGACATATATGTGCTTGCAGAAATTGATAACACGAGTTAAACATCTACTCTGCATGGGAGAGCCGAACTGATCAATACACATTTGTGGTAAAGCACATCAGTGCTAATTGAATTTCACTGCTCTATGTCTGTTTCTTAGTTCTTCTATACCCTGATCCTGCAAATGGTGAAAATTCCCACTGAATTTAAGAAAACGTTCCCATTGAACAATGTGAAAGTGAACTAAGTTTGTATGTACTCTAAAAAGATGTGCTAGAATTTCCATCACATGACAAGACATTTAGAGCTTTTGCTCCAATTGCACATTGAAGCTGCTTTATTTATAAGAGGTGCTTCTCTCGTTGAGTTTGGCTTTGAGGATACTGCTTGATGTTAAGTCTGCATTTCCATTTCAGTTTTGTCTTCCTCCTCTGCCAAACTTAGCCTGCGATTCTATCCATCTATTTAATAAGGCCACTGACAAAATGCACAAGGATTGAAAAAATTGAAAAGATAAAAAAATTATTATGCAGTGAAACTTGTGATTTCGTACCCTGCATCCAAAATAAAAAAAGTTTTTTTTCTCAAAAACTGTCCTACACTGCAACAAACCGGCCAACTACACTGTTCTACAACCATGCATTGAAGCATTAACCTTGTATGTCTGACTGCTAATTTAGTAGGTTTCTGGTCATGTTCATATTCTATTAGAGGTTGTATAAATATGTTTCTATGTAACAATGGACTGCATGTTCAATATTATGTTCATTGTTTGGTTCCGCTTTACTCAAATATTCTATACCTGCCAATTCGTTGCACTGTGCCCACTTATGGTCCCTATACTACTGTAATCCCACATTGGAATTCTATAATTTAGTTTTTGAACGTAAAATAAGGGACCTAAGATGTGTCATTCTCTTTCACCTGCAGGCACTGCTTCAGGCACACGATGTGGTTGCACACGAGGTCTACAGTGAGGAGGCTATTCGGGTGACACCACCGCCGCTGACACCCTTTCTCAACGGCAACCAGGAGGCAGGTGGCAGCGAGGCCGGCGACATGGAACAGGTCACCCGCGTGCGCCTCGTCCAGTTCCAGAAGAACACTGATGAGCCCATGGTATAGTGCCCTTCCAGTTTAGGAATTTATTTTTGTATTCAAGGCTTTGTTGGCGTTCCCCTTTACGAGACTTTTGTGAGCCCCTTCTAAAAATCCATGTGACCTTCTCTAATAGAGCAATGACATCATCATGAAGTCACATGGTGACATCACTGTATGACATAACTGAAGGATTAATTGACATTGTTAATTCAACAAATACGGGCCACCCTTGAAGGAAGTACAACACCATCTCTGCGGCAGAGACCTTTAGTAATGGGGGACAAACATGGAATTGACTATGAACATCAAGGTAACCTGATGTATGTCTTTCACACGGCAAGTCATTGTGTCTTACAAGAAGTCTGGCCCCAGTTGCATATCTTAAGGCATTAGCGAGTAGACAGCTGACTCTTGCCTTCAAATGTTAGAGAGTGTGACATGCTGCCACTTTGGTCTTTTTTAACAGCATACCTACATACGAGTAAGGTTCCATGTCTTTTTCATGTCTGTGTATCAACAGAAAATGTGTGTCACCAGATATTATGGGCCAATCTCAAAGGCAGTGCAGTTTACTCTATTGACCTGGATACTAACTGCTAAGTACTTGTTAGCATCTACTAATAGTATTTGCAAATGTCGCCAGGGAAACCCAAGTGTGATAGTGCACAGTTCGGAGCCACACACTTTGCATTGCGGAGCCATAATGACACTACCCTTGCGATCATCACTAGAAGCTTTTGTGCGGACAATTAAAAACCAGACAAAAAATCGGTCACAGGGTTCGTGCTATGAAATCTTCGGTTGAAGTGTCACACCAATCCAACTTACTCAACATTTGTGTTTTATAGATTTTACTTTGGCCTCGAATTTCAAACAACCAGTGCATATCACAGTAGAATAACAAAGAGTACTTGTAACATTGTGTGATGTGCTCCAGCTTTTCAGATTGGAATGGCTGTTTGGCTATTTTTTTTTCTTGTTTTATTTCTCTTATTGCATGCTTGATGGAAAATTCCGGCAAATGCATATAGCTGATGATGGCCTAATAAATAGGACCTACGGTCCTGCTTCCAAAAATTGGCTGTGCTTCGGCCCAGGGGTGTGTTGATAGCAATTTTCGAGACTGAATTAAATATCAAATACTTTTCTAATTGCTTTTTACTATTGAATGAACATTTATTATTTTCATTTGCTAATAAATGATTCTCATATTCTTATTCATAATTTTAGTATTAAAAGTTTAAAACATCAAATAAAGCTCATGTGCTATGCAACACCAATAGGCAAAAAAAAAAAGTCGTGAATCCCTTTTTTTTTCAGAATCGTAATACGTAACACGAAAGTAGAACATTTCCTCACAGAAGTACTTGAGCCTTATTGTGCATTGTTTTGCCGCAAGGGCAAAGGAATGAATGCAGCAGTAACAAATTGCAATGTCATGTGAAGAATGGCAAGCTACTCGAAACTTGCTGCTCACACTTTAACAAAAAGCACGCACCTAATGAGCATACGCAGGACGAATGCGGACAAACAACTGTCACCATTCTCACTTCGTATGTGAGCAGCACGCTCCTTTTGTAAATGCGGCAGCGAGCGAATCGACGTTCATGCTCGCTTTAACTACTGTAACTTCAAAGCAAACTTGCAGTGGAAGTACAAGAGGTACAAAGCACCCAAATCCCGAGATGAGCACATGCGCGAGTGAGCCACCATGCTAGAGAACGTCTATACGCACCTTGACCACGCCATGTGGAGGCGCGCGCGCAGCGATGCACAGGGTGGTGCGGCCCGACGCCCTTTAGAGCGCACGCGTGTATGTGAACAACGATATTGTCAGCAAAGCCTAGACCCAGCCCTATACTTCATCTCTCTACTACCGCTCAGCACAACCAAGGTTAAAGGGTGTAAGCAAGCCACAGGCTTGCGCAGCAGGACATAGTTCCAGATTCGATTGCTGGTCATTTGGCTGAGTTGAGACATTTGTGGGTGTTTAGCACATGTTACGTTGCATTGATGCGTGATATACCTATGTTCATTTTTCTTTGGCTTGATGTCGTGTGTATTTAATTGCACTATCAGTTACTGCCGGTAAATGTGGCTACAAATCAACGTGGCAGCACTCATGCAGACGTGACTACCCTCTTCAATCCGAGCTTGCACTTGCTATTTGTCAGTAGCGCTGGCAGTAACAAGTAAATGGTGAAATAACCAATCTTTATGCCGTCTCAGGCTGAGAACAAGGTGTAAAGTACATTTTGTCTTTAGTATTTGTGAGATAAACTGTTTGTTCAGCCACACCTGTTAAGCCTAGCGGGCCAAGTATTTGATAATGGTTCTTAGTATTAGAGGAATGTAGTCGCGAATACATTAATCTAAAGCAAATACAAGCATCGTTTTGTAACTTGAGGGTCACACAGTGCATAATGATGACATGATAAGTTCAAAGCGGAGAGCATCAGCTGCGACGGGTGCAGACATGTTTTTTTTTCGCCATCTAATCGCTATACTCACTCTGTGCATGTGATCCGATGTGAGGGAGACACTGAGCAGATGATACGACGCTGATAAATACATGTCGCTTTGCTTACCACCCTTCCTTTTGGCTAAGGGACCTCGTAGCCTTCAGAGTGCTGGATGGAACTTTTTAGATGGAATATATTCACATAGCCTGCGGCACTGCGTAATCTCTCATTTTTCATGCTTATGTATCATAGATGAATGAAATTTAACCTACTTTTGTGCCAAATTTCTATTTATTTGGGTGCACTAAGCGGTTTTATTTTTGGGAATACCAGCTGTTTAACTTGAAGATTCAACCACATTAGTGGTTAAAAACTCACAAAATTATACCTTTGCCCTCTGTGCATTCGCACTCTAGAATACTGATAGTTCTCAAGGTGGCGATGCAGAATGCAATTTTTTTTGCATTTATTTCGTGTAAATAAGCAAACTACATGTTATCCTTAACAAGCATCTTTTTCTCTTAAAACTAGGAATTTTTACCAACTCTGTGACCTTGCTTTCGTTCTAATCTTTTCTTCCATTTGGATCAACAATTTTAAAACAATTATGGAGCACTGGCCATCTATTCAGTACTTTTGTTCATGCCGGCATTAGATAGTGCCTAAATACTGAATTAGAAGTCACAGTGCTAATTTATTACTAATAATGTTCACACGAAAGTGAATATTATAGCATACCTTCTCTGAAGGTGAATTTGGGGAGGAGCGGGCAGTTTGTCTGACATAAACCATTCGAGCTGTATTGCAGACAATTCTAATAGAAATATTAATGACCTGCCCATTACCAATTTATGCTTTCTTTTCCATCCGCATTACTTAAACAATTTATTTCTTTTTATTGTGAAATGCATGTCACATCCTCCTTATCTGAAACAAGCTTTCTGATACGTCATTAACCACTGAAAAAAAAAAAAACCTTTGTTGAGTTCACATCAGCAGTAGCACTTGAATATGCAAGAAGACCTATTTCTTCTTTTTAACCCTTGTTTGCACACTCTGTTATGGGAAAAGATAAAGTGATATTGCATCTACCGCGGTTCAGCAGTGGTTATGGGGCTCGGTCGGCACCTGAACTGAAGGTCGCGGGTGTGATCGTGGCCGTGCTTGTCACATTTTCATGGAGGTGAAATGCCAGAGGCAAAGAACATCAGACGGTCGAAATTTCAGGGCCCTCTACTACAGCATTCATCACATTCATATCCTGGTTTCAGCCCGTAAAACCCAAGATATTGTTATTATTAGGTGTGGTATTGTGCTTGTACTGTATTTGTCACTTGGCAGGGCTTGTGGAAGCCACTCCAAAAATAAAAGAAAGCTTACCTCAGGTAAACTCGCAAATTTACGATATGCATATTTTTGTTTTTTGTTTTCACCAGGAGCACTTGTTGACTTATTTTACCGAATATATGATACCGTTGGGACTCGCTATCCTTCTGAGAATCGCTTTGAACACAGATTGTTTTCATTCTAAAATACGGGGTGTATGAACACGAACACAGAAAAAAAGAAGTCGCAAACACAGCACCGCTCCTGCCTTCTTTCTGGTGTCCGTGTTTGCCTACCTTGTCTTTTAGAATGACTGCTTACTCACTATCTCAGTTCTCTATTATTCTCAAGATTTGTTATTATTTTTTGCCACGCATTCATACAGGGCATCACCCTGAAGCTGGACGAGGACGGACGGTGTATTGTGGCTCGCATCATGCATGGTGGCATGATTCACAGGCAAGGTGAGTACACCACTGGCAGTAATAAATCACACGATCACAAGGTCGGAATCCTGATGGCCTGTTTGTTTACGCACGGCTAGAAATGTAGAGCAAAAGGGTGTCTGCGACATGTTTTATTGAAAATGTGGGATGCTCCAGATGTCAAAATTAGGGGCCTCTTGACCATTTCTAAAAAAGGTTTATTCAGCTCTATCTTAATTTGCTTTGTCAGCCTATCCACAATTTCAGTGTTAAAAATCATCTTCAAACAATGTTTAAACAACATGTGGGATTCCTCTTAAACCATATTTTTTTCTTTTTTCAAGTATAGTCCCACACTTACCCCAAAACTCCTACTAAACATAACCTCAACATTTTCAGTTTTCGGTTCGGCATGTCCTAATTACTTCAAAGAGTGTTGCTAAGCGTTGCATGATCAGCTCACCATGTTGGGAACCTTACCCATCTAAGAAACCTTGCACTAAATGGTGTTTTCTGTTCAGTTTTTTTAGTGGAATAATATTTTTTGCCTTTTTTAGGCACTTTTATTTACGGTATTCATATGCATTCTCACTTAAGTGTAAGCTTGTGGCCACCATTTGGTCTGGCTTTATTAAAAGTGGCTGGCTTCATTGTAAGGCTTTAAATTTCTATTCAAAGAACATTTTTCACTGGGTCTTATACTGTTTGTGTCAATCACCAACAGCTATGGCATCAGCATGCAAGGTTTTTCTAATGCCTGTATTGGAAACCAGCATGCAATATGGTTTCCAGTGGTTGATAATGTTAGACAGTTCTTGTTTGCTTGCATTGCAGCCACTCTACATGTCGGGGACGAAATACGTGAAATCAACGGCATCAGCGTTGCCAACCAGACTGTGGAGAGTTTGCAGAGAATGCTCGTAAGTGTCACCCTGTCATTTTGGGGCATCAGATGAATTGGTCAATGAAAACTCTCACAAGCATCGTACTGTCATGCATAACACCAGGAAATATTATTCCCTTGTAGGAACTCAGCATGCCACAACGTTTCAATATTATTAAGCACCATCTGGCCTGCATGCAACCTGTTTCAAGCTTTAAGTTTATTTGTTCAGTCACCGTAGGAACGATACAATCAGTGTGACAATGAGACTACTGATTTGTTTATCATATTTACTCATTTTATTATAGTGTACAGGTTGTTTGTTTTACATACTCAAGGTAACCTATACAAAGCCACAAAAAAAGAAAAAAAAGACCTGTGCTCGGCACACGCAGCAATAAAGATTTACAGAACATTCAAAATGTCGTGCAAGCCAAACAGGTTATTTTTTTTAATATGATGAATAAATACTAAACTTATAACATGCAAAACTCACAAATTTTTTACCAGATATATTACTGTATTTGTAATGGCATGTAAATATGAAAACTCAAAAAAACGGAAAGGGCACAAATGCTTAGCAGTCTGAAAATGTGTTTCTGAAGTTCATTAAAATTGATATTAGCCAGTTTTGTTACTTATGTGTGTGATTAAGATTTTTTTTTTTTCCATTTATGATCGTGGTGATACTATACCAGTTGCCAGAAGCATGGGCAGCTATTGTGCCTTGCTTGCTTGATAATTTAGGATGTCATTGCAGTCGCATGCAATATTGAACCGAAGCTCTTGATTTTGTGGCGTGTGGTGGGTTTCAGTGTTGTGTGTTCATCCAACTGAGAGGTGAGGAAGTGGCTTGGTATGGTGAAGACAGCATTAGGTGTCATGTCGCTTCTTGCTACACCCGAGCTTCTGAATGCAAGTCAGAGTGGCAGAGGGCAAAATAGCTTTGCCGATTCGCAGAGTTCATCGGACCTGCATTTTTTTCATTCTACGCATGCTGTGCAGCTCCAGTAGAAAGGACTTCAACGGTACAGCATCAAACCTTACATGCACTAGTATCAGTTTTTCAAGTTCAACTGCTGACCCACTGGTCGCGGGATCTAATCCCAACTGTGGCGGCGGCATTTTTGATGGAGGCGAAAATGCTGTAGGCCCGTGTGCTCGGATTTGGGTGCACGCTAAAGAACCCCAGGTGGTCACAATTTTTGGAGCTTTCCACTACGGCGTCTCTTATAATAATATGGTGGTTTTGGGACGTTAAATCCCACATATCAATCAATCTTTCAAGTTCAAGGAAATAGTGTCAGTAAATAATCTAGTTTTGATGTGATGAAGTAAATTGACGATTTCATGGACATCATGTTAATATTTAAAGGCGATACTGGAGTCCCTCTAGTATCCCTTTAATTTTCTCTCTGAACTCTATTGTAACTAATTACCACCATATGTCGTATTTACCGACCATTTACTATCATAGGTCAATTATCAGAAAAGGAAATAAAGGTCAAAGCTTTGTGTTTGAATTTCACAATAAAATTGCGTTAACCTCAGTGCGGCATCATGAATGTTGATGACTTATAGTGTAACTGACCATTTTAGATCAGTGAGGTTTGCCAAAACTTGCATTTTGTCCCTCAGAACACAATTTAAATAATTATTAACTACAAACGATTGCATAGCTCTTAGCTGATGCAATCAAAATCTGTGATGTCATGGTGAGCTGGTAGGGAAGCTTCAAGGGGGTGTCCCACTGGTATTTATATTTTTATGCATTCTTTAGCTTACCAAGCTTCTTCTTGCAGGAAGAGCAGTATTATCAATATTTTGAAATTGTAACTTATCATTATGAGTGAAATGGTTTTTCTCTTTTAGTATCCTGAATATGTATACAGTAGATACAGTAGACTCTCAGTGAACAGCAATCTCATAAATCAAACTGCTACTTATATGGAACAAGCACTTCTGACAAGATTGGTTTTGTACTTATATTCTGTACACTTGTTCATCTCTCAGCAATTGGAAGTCATGTTAAAGGGAACACATCTTCCTGGTCCTGTTAGACTCACTTTAAAAAACAAGTTTACATTACTTGAGTTTGGATGTCTTTCAACAAGGAAAGGCACAATTGTTCTCCACCATGTTTTCTAGCAGGATGTTTCTTTAATGAAATGAATGAGAATGAAGGCTAGGGGGGGGGCTATTGTTTTGCAGTACATGCCATTATACACAGTCCATTTAAAACATTGAATATGAACGAACAGGATGTGTGGCATTTTCTTTAGTTAATTTTTTTGTGCTCATTACTTTAGCAACTTTCCTTGTGACTTAGTTTAAACAGACATCAGCCATTGTATGACCTCTCACATAAAATCTAAAAAAAATTTTATGAATGTTCATAGTATATAAATTACTTTAATAGTGTCAAACTTGGGACAATGTTCAGCTGAGCTCAGCATGTGAGACTTCAGCTGAAACGTTCCTTACCTTTGCTTATACAGACTCACAGAGCTGTTCACATTACGAAGCTACGTTATCTTCCTTTTCTTGTTTCCATTTAGTGTATTTTGTACATTCTTGGTATGAGGACTGTAGAATTCAATTTAACGAGCATTTACAGTGCATATAGCTTAGCTTCTGGTAAGTTATAGTAGATTGCCATAGGTCTCATGCATTTACTCACTGTAAATTGAAGCTTTTAATAGTGCGTATCAATGAGATGTCCCAGCTGACACGTTTCTACGTATTGTCACCACACAGAGGGATGCACGGGGCAGCGTCACCTTCAAGATTGTGCCCAGCTACCGCAGTGCCCCGCCACCGTGTGAGGTAATCTTTCAGTACGCCTCCGAGCTGGGCCACGGGCTTGACTTTTGCATCACTGGTAGCGCCTCCGCGTGCTCCTTGTGACGTGTGGCGCTCTTATTATGACTGCAAGGAGAGCCGCAGCCACTTTAGTTTATTATTCCTACTAGATGATGCAATGCTTTCCTGTTTTGTTTGTATCTAAGAACAGTACCTTGGCTCTTACTTGTAACTAGTGCAAGGTGATCACCCTTTGGAAAGCATCTACATTCAGGCTAGTTGGTTCTGGTGCTGAACATTCTGATGGGGCAGTGCAGACAACATTACAAGAAAAGAAATGGCAGAGTGCCGTCATGCATTGTTTCTCTGCATGTGTAGTCTTTGTTTGTGCTGACTTGTCAAGATTACATATTAAAAGCAGGGATGCTAGACTTAATTGACGGGAGGCAAGGATGAGAACAGTATTGTCCTAGCTTAGCCTTCGTGCTGTTTCATTGCAATCGTGCCTTATCAACTAGTCCAAAGGTTAATGCAAGGCTCCTTAGTGCAATATCTGTCAGTCCAACTGTTTAATGCCTAGATATTACTTGTTCAGGGATGGCAGGACGCAAAGGGCTTCAAAACATTAGTTTTTATGTTGTTCCTGTTGAATGCATGCATTGTCGGTGCAGATTCTTGGTGAGGAAAATTTGCACGCACGAGAATGCTTTTGTCCCGCTAACATGTTTTAAAAAGATGCACTTGTTGCTTAGTGAACAGGGTTGTAAAGAACAGTGTTGCCATGTATTGCCATCATTACACTGGTGCTCCTGTCACATGCTGCTTCTTTAGCAACGTTGAAGGCCCTACCCAGTTCACTGGTTTCCATTCGAACTGACAGTTTTAACTATAATATCTTCAATGCCAAACCAAAATCGTACTTGCATATTTGTTTTTGACTCGTGTGTTGCTCAGTTACACAAATTATCGCATAAATATTGAAACAAATTGTGCTTGTGCCTAATGTATGAAGCAGTGTCTGATACAATGTCTGGGGCTTCACTAAGGCCTAGAGGATTGGTGTCAATTCTTAAAGGGGCCCTGCAACACTTTTTTAGCATGGTTAGAAAACACTGCCGATCGGTAGTAGAGGCTCCGGACAACATGCGAACCAAATATTATAGCACAGCACGCGGTGTGGTATTCACTATAAAGCATCAAATTCAGCTAATAATTGCGTTCTCTTCTCTCGACAAATCACGTTATACGTATGCCCAACAATCACACATCAACGACTCATCTATCAGCCATTGGCTGACTTCAACATGGCGTGCTCACTCGTTACAGAGATCGCCGTGGGAGGCCGCTGCTTGTCCACGCGTGCACGCACGATCACACTGAAAAAGCCGCGCATTCAAAGAAAAAAAAGAAAACAGTGCTCAAGGTCGCAAAGCGCCTGTGACGTTTTTTGTGGCCCTGACATCGCTCGCTGCTTAGCTTCCAGCGCTTTTGTCTGGACGAGAGAAGAGAGAATGCAATTGCAGCATGCAACAAAGCTTTGTAACTCCACTCGCACTGGACGGATTCTTACAATTTTCGCGGCGTTGAATTCGGCAGGCAATAAGCTCTTCCAGTGAATTCATTCCACGGTTACTTCAAGAAATGTTACAGGGCCCCTTTAACTTCAGATGCATGTGCATTGTCTGGGTATTGGATTGCATGCTGTTGCATTGGTTTCTGCATGCAGAAATCTGTTTATTTTATAGCCTTCAAGTTGTTGTATGGCATATGAGCCTAGTGGACATGTATTCTCTATTGCAAGTAGAAGAAGTGATGCACATTGTAGCGGTGCTTTATGTTGAATCCTGCACAATCTTGTTCTTTCTTTTTGTGTGCTGTACTGTATTCTAATCTTAGAGAACAAGGCACCTTGTGTAGTTGTGCGGAACAATAAGAGACAGTGGTTGCCCACCTAATGTGGCATAGCAAAGGCACTGTTAGACATCATTTTTCTTTTTCGGTTAACATAATGTTTTTGTGGCATATAAGACATTAATTAGTGCACAAGAGTTTTAGGTGCATTTCCCAAAATCCTATTTGGGTGCTTAATTTCTCTGCACTTTCTTTTTCTGTTCTTAAAGTCTGTGTTAGCTAATTAGTTCTTTTCAAGGTTGAATATGTGAAATTCAGCAAAGCATAACTAAATGCTGATTGCAGTACATTTTAGTGTAGTGTGAGCAGCACTACTGGCACAAACATCTGGTGAGATAGGGAGCACTTCTAGCTTAAGCTTTTGCAATCACCGATATTACTAATTTGCTTCTACTACATATCTCGTGCAGAGATGTCCACAGTGGCAGCCGCTGCCTTTTTTTATTTTCACTTAACAACAGCTGTCATTCTTGCATTTGTTATTTATAGAGAATGATTGTAAACTGCAAAAGCACTTTGAGTGCACAATAATTAGTCGCAATATGGTGTCATTGGCACTGCTGCTCCTTGCCATTAGTTCAGTCTATTTCTGCACTGTCACACCTCTGCTGCTCAAAGATTTTTTTATTGACTGCCGAAAGAGGAATTTTCGCTGAAGTCTTAATCACTGTTTCAAAGATTTTGCGTCACATGTTTCTCAACTTAAGGCGAGACAGTACCGCATGCACCAGGCCCACTTTCGTTTAATGCCACTTGTCATATAGCTGTTTATTTCATTTGAGAAGTCAAAAGGCTCCCAGAATAGGGCCTTGTGATAGGCTGTCTCAGTAAAATTTATTGTCAGACATACCTGGAATATGCAGATTTAGATGCAGAATATTGTAGTGATATCATAAAGTGTAATATTTGAAAAACATTACTGCTTACAAGGATGCCCGTTTTTCAATTTAGTAGAAGATATTTGCCACCTGTAAACCCTGAGGTAAATCAGGGAAAGTCTGCCAATATTGAAGTCCAGGGCCGAGTCTATATTAAACCGCATAATGCTGCATATGTGGAACATTACTAGTACATAAGTGCTCGCAGCAGCCGTCACTGTTGTGTGTGTACAGCTTTCAGGTCACATTGATGCATCGCTGGTGAATTCAAGGGGTAATAGGTGTCTCTGGCAGTTTTTAGTGCCCTCAAGGGGCAGCACCTTGTGCCTTTTAGTCAAGCAAGCATGTTTGCGAGTGAAGTATATTTATTAAATGGCTAGTAAATAGGCCCCTGACTTTCTTTTTTACACCCTGCAAACAAGTTCTCCAATACGCACAGTAGACTGCGGTAATCACAATTTACAAATATTACAGTGCTGCGCACTACAAAGACTCTTGATTTCGGAAAACTATTCCCGTGTCTATTTCCTTCGCTGGACCAAGCCCCTTCGTACGTGCAGTGATGCAAGCTTGCCAATGGGCCACTTTACGTGCCACTGAGCTTGTTGATTGGTCCTTTGCCCTACGAAACAGCGCCTTAGCCCTGCAGTGGTGCAGTTTCAGCCGCACAGTCCGCATTTTTTTTTTTCCTGTGCTCCTTTCTGCCGTCTTGTAGAGTCCGAGACTACCAGGAGAAGCGGTGTTGAAACGGAAGCCTCTTAGATAAAGAGGTGTCCCTGCTAGGAGAACGGTGCTTCTCGAATCATGCTTCCTTCTCGCACCGCTTTAACATGTTCTCATGTTGGGGATGCCCCGCTTGGTCATTGGCTATGCGCCGATTACGTATCACTGACATTTTGTCACGTTGCCGAAGTGGGCGTAGTCACAATGACGGGCTCTGCCTTCTCCCACCCTATGGTGGATGAATGTGGCGAGGCCAAGCGAAAATTTGAAACCAGCTGAAACGAATGTTCTAACCCCTGTAACTTTCTTATTACGGCATGCATTCACAAAATTCTTGTGGCAGAATGTTCACAGATCAAAAGTGCGCATATTTCTCTTCATGAGAATTATTGTACCACGAGGTTGTTTACTGGCCCTTCAACTGCAGTACCAGAAAGCCATTGTTGCAGTAACCGTCTTTATATGTTCTTTGAAGATTCCAACACTTAGCTGCAGAGGAATTGCCATTATAGTATTCACTATGTAATTCATTATGTATGAACAGCTGCTCTTTAAAAAAACAAAATTAGAATAAAGAATAAAACAACACAGGCACTGATTGTTCTGTGTCCCTGTTTTTTATTGCTGTTGTTTTTACATAATTAATTACCAGCAAGTAGCCCAAGTGTCTGTTCTAGTGCAGTTTATTCACTAGGTTTAGGCTTGTTTTTCAAAACATCAGTAGCCACACAGCCACAAAACTTTGCCCACGCATATTGTAAACAACTTTGCAAAGTGCCTTGTTCTGGTCAGCTTTCTGTTTCTCTCTATGGTTTGCATTTTGCTCATGTCTGATCATTTTCAACCCTAGTTATTTTGTGGTGCGTCAACAACTTTTTCAAAGGTCACGTTGCCCTCCCTGAATTTGTTGCACACAGGTGCACCTCGCGTGTTCGTTATGGTAAATGCAGCCCGATTGATAATGACTCGTCAGAGCTGTTTGAAGCTGTCTGGGCATCTGTTGCAAGTCTATCGATCTAATGCTGTTTATTAGGCATTTAAAGTCGTGCTGCATGTATTCGTACCATTCTGATTGAAGAAGGCTAGCTCATGTGAAGAAACTTTAGCAGCCAGCACTTGAAAAGAAGCTTCACAAAAGACGGTCAAGTGTGCAGACATGTGTGCTGCGCTCAAAAGCCACTTTATTACTTTCTGATGCAAACAAAGAGCCTCTGCTTTCAAAGCTTAAGGACGAGTTGATACAGTTCAGGGGACATACATTTCTAATGTTATAAATATTTGAAACATTAGCAAATAGGTGATGTATGCCTCGTAGAGATGCAATAAATCTTTCTTGAAGTAGCACTACAGTCGATCCCGGATATATCGAACTCAAAGGGGATCGCGACATGGTTCAATATATTTAGGCCAAAATACAATATATGTGTATTTAAGGCCTAAATTAAAACATTTTAGGCCTCGGAAATCGCTACAAGCACTAACAAAATGATTCACTCACAGTATAATAAATAA